AAAAAATACCTAGTTGTGTTAGCCTCATTTTCTTGCCACTACATCTCTTGCGCGCTGCCTTAGCATTTGGTTGAGAGGACTGCAGGAGCCAATCTGTTGCGGGACTTTTTTGGGCCTGTTTTCTTTTTCGGGCATGCCTCGAACGTCAACCAAGACCTAACCCCTTGCTGTCTTCGCTTCACTGCATAGCCTCAAACCTGCGATTTGGACACTCGGACAATCCCCCACCCTTGTACAACACTCGACGACTTGCCTTGCCCACGGTTCAAAGAAAAAAAGCTAACCTTGAACCACGGTTCAAGGCGCCAGAAACTTTGCCTTGAACCACGAAGGATTGGCCTTGAACCACGAAGGAAATGATAGAGAGGGTTTAGGGTTTAGGGTTTAGGTGCCTGCAGAACTGGGAAGCAGGCCAACGAAGAAGAGTCGGATCAGGCAGAGCCACGGGAGTGGCAGCGCATAGACCTCTTCGAGGGGGAGACGCGGCAAGCACATGAAGTCCTGGGTTTAGGGTTTAGGGTTTAGGGTTGAGGGTTGAGGGCTCCTACCCCCTTCATACTACCCCCCCCAGGTTCCCCCCATAACTCAGCCTCCTCTCAACCCCCCAAAGCCCTCAACCCCTACATCCACACAACGCGCAACAACCCCGCCAAGGACAAAAACCCTAAGCCCCTAGCTTTAGGCTCTTATGGCCTGCGCTCAGCGGGGGCCAGCGCCGAGGGGGCCAAAGTAAGAAGTTGCCATCTCTGGCAGGTTGGGAAAGATCTTGCTTGGAGGTTCATGGTACCTATTGACGAATTATGTCTGTACATATAACTGTACTCATAACCATATTAGGGCACTTAAGGGACTAATAAGTACCATGAACCTCCAAGTAGGGGGGGCACCTCGCCAGAGAGGCTGAGATAGTCAGGCCCAAATGGTCTTCGGATTTGTGTTCTACACCCTTTAAAGCCCTAGAACTCCCCCAAAACCCTAAACCCAACACCCTGAAACCCTAAAACCCCCAAAATCCCAAGCTCGAAATCCTAAAGCCCTAAAACCCTCAAGCCCCCCAAAACCCAAAACCCAAAAACCCAAAACCCAAAACCCAAAACCCAAGACCCAAGACCCAAAACCCAAAACCCAAGACCAAAAACCCAAAACCCAAAACCCAAAACCCAAAACCCAAAGCCCAAAGCCCAAAGCCCAAAACCCAAAACCCGAAACCCGAAACCAGAAACCCAAACACCAAACCCCAAACCCCAAACCCTAAACCCTAAACCCTAAACCCTAAACACTCACCCAAACTTCAAAGGAGTACCTTTGCTTACTTCGTGGCCGCCTCGGTGATGCCACATTGGCATCCTGGCTCATGTGGGTCACGAGCTTCGGCCGGTGCCTGACGCTGGGAGGCCACCCTAAATCCTAAACCCTGAACCCTAAACCCTGAATCCTGAACCCTAAACCCTAAACCCGAAGCACAAAACCCTACACTGTTCAGGCTGGGTAAGTGGGGTTTAGGGACTTTAGGGTTTGGGGAGTTCAGGGTTTGGGGGGTTTAGCGAATTTAGGGGCGTTTGGGGAGGTTGGGGCCTAGGATCCTGGGGCCCCTCAACCCAGTAGTTTTGGGTTCGGGTTTAGGGTTTAAGGGTCCCGTGCCCCGAAACCCAGCTGGTTGGAGGTGCGATCGACCATCCAGTGCCGACATTCTCCTTCCCCTGTTCCGAAGGCTGAGCGGGGGTTGACGTTCTTGAGCTGAGGGAGGGTTCAGGTCGGGGGACCTCAACCCTCAACCCTCAACCCTCAACCCTCAACCCTCAACCCTCAACCCTCAACCCTCAACCCTCAACCCTCAACCCTCAAGCCTCAACCCTCAAGTGTTCAAGTTATGTTCTGTTGTGTTTTCAAGTTTTTTTCGCTGTATGCCTTCAAATTGTGTTGTCAAGTTTCTGCACTTGGAGCAGAACGGTTTTGACAGTATTGTGGTATGCTTGGTGCCGAAGTTTGACAGAGTAGTGCCTGCTGGTGTTGCTTCTTGCCATCCTAAACCTGAAAGAACAGCCCTCGAGGTCAAAAACATGTTGTATCAATTTCTTGCAGTGTTGTGGCATGCTGGCAAAATTTTGAAAAAAGCCAGCAGCTGTTGCTTCTTTTCGTTCTAAGTAAAAACCCTTAAGCCCTAAACCCTAAACCCTAAACCCTAAACCCTAAACCCTAAACACCAAACCCTAAACCCTAAACCCTAAACCCTAAGCCCTAAACCCTAAACCAGAAGAGTCTCCAAAGCCTTCTCAACAACAGCAGCTCCTACTGTTGCGAGTGGAAGACAGGATGGCCAGAAGCACGTCTCCTCCCTGCTTCTTACTAAACCCTGAACCCTGAACCCTAAACCCTAAACCCTAAACCCTAAACCCTAAACCCTAAACCCTGAACCTGAACCCGAAACCCTAAACCCTGAACCCTAAATCCTAAACCCTGAAACCTGCCAAAGGCCATGAAATCATCGGCGCCTCCATTGGCGCGGGCCCGTTCTGTTTTAATGCCTAGGACCCTCAGTACGTCCTTAGGCATGTCAGGACCTTAAACCCTAACCCTAAACCCTAAACCCTAAACCCTAAACCCTAAACCCTAAACCCTAAACCCTAAACCCTAAACCCTAAACCCTAAACCCTAAACCCTAAACCCTAAACCCTAAAACATAAACCCTAAACCCTAAACCCTAAACCCTAAACCCTAAACCCTAAACCCTAAACCCTAAACCCTAAACCCTAAATCCTAAACCCTAAACCCTAAACCCTAAACCCTAAACCCTAAACCCTAAACCCTAAAACCCTAAAACCCTAAACCCCTAAACCCCTGAACCCCAATGAACCCTGAATCTGCGGGTTTGCCAATCAGCTTTTAGGGCAGCCCTGCGGTGTCTTTTTGAAGTCATTGGTTTCCAAGAAGAGGGGTACCCATTGTTTGGGGCTGCAAAAGTCAGGATTCGAGTCTTTTGCAGCGTATACTTGCGAGTACCCGCCCTCTTTTGGGAAATGCCCATTGTTACAACTTGCCATCTTGCTTGAGGTTCCTCTTTTTTGTTTAGGGGGGTGTTAGGGTTTAGGGTTTTCGGTAAGCTTTTAGGGATGCAGCGTTTTGGGGTTTAGGGGCGTGGGAACCATTCCCCTTCCGCCCGGCAGTCCGGCAGTTGAGCCATCCAGCATCAGACGCTTGCTTCCTCACATGAGAGTCCACAGCCACCACCCAGTTCTGGGCAACTGAAGGTTGAGGGAGTTTAGGGTTTAGGGTTTAGGGTTTAGGGTTTAGGGTTTAGGGTTTAGGGTTTAGGGGTTCTGGACCACTTGTGCTGGAGTCTTGGGCTGCCATGTCGACCTCCACGGGCTACATGTCCACGCACTCAGAGAAGCTGCACGCTGCGGCGCCTACAGCGGCTACTGCCGTGGCCGGAGATACTGTGACGGTGACGTGGCTTGCTAAGCCCTAAACCCAAAACCCTAATCCCTAAACCCTAAACCCTAAACCCTAACTAAACCCTAAACCCTAATCCGTAATCCCTGAACCCTAAACCCCAAGCCCTACACCCAACACCCTAAGCCCCACAACTGTTGCTTTTGTTGAGAAGATGGTGGGCTCCAAAATTGGGCACCCATGTAACACAGCTAACCGAAATAATCACAAATAGCCCAAGTAGCCCAAGACAACCCAAGTATGTAGCTAACCCCAAAATTTCCATAGCCCAAAATGATAACCGGACCCAACCATAACCCAAAACAACCCAAATATCCCAACTGACCCAATAACCCCAAATGACCCAACAAGAACCCAACTAGCCCCTCAACCCTGAACCCTGAACCCTGAACCTTAAACCCGAAGCCCTAAACCCTACACCCTAAAGCCTCTTCCGAAAGGTGAGCCTGCGAATGCTCAACGGCGCCGAGTTTGAGGTCGTGATGCGCCGTGAGGATACAGCGGCTGGTCTATCAAATCTAGTAGGTTTATATAGGGTTTAGGGTTTAAAGTTCAGGGTTTAGACTCACACCGGGACAGGCTGGAGGGGATAAGAATTGCAAGGTTTAGGGGGTTGTGGGGGCTTTTAATTCCGCTAAGGCTTTTGGGTTTCCAGGGCTTTGATGCACTTCGGGTTGGAACCCTAAGACCCTGAACCCTGAACCCTAAACCCGAAACCCTAAACCCTAAACCCTAAACCCTAAACCCCAAACCCTAGAGGGAGCAGCTTGCAAGGTGGGTTGAAGGTGGGGGCCGCTTCCGAGGTGCGCGACCTGGCTGCGCGCATCCGTGGGGCCCTGAGAGACTGGGTTAGGGTTTAGGGTTTAGGGTTTAGGGTTTAGGGTTTTGGGGTGTAGGGTTTAGGGTTTAGGGTTAGGGTAGACTGGGTGGTTCTGACCAGGGTGATTCGGGTTTCGGATCCAGGGTTCACCGGCCCTCAACCCATAACCCAAAACCCTGTAAACCCTAAACCTTACACCCTAAACCCACGAAGTATCCGTAGTTGCCTGCCCGACAATGGCAGGATGACTCCCCACATTGGGTGATTGATTTTTGTTTTGGTTCTGATTATGCATTGTTTTTGTTTTTGGCGCAGTACACGCGCGCGCGCGCGCGCGCGCGCGCGCGCGCGCCGCGCGTGCGCGGGCGCGGGCGCGTGCACGGGCGCGGGTGCGGTGCGGGTGCGTGTGCGTGTGTGGGTGTGCGCGTGCGTGGGCGGGGGGGGGGGGTGGGTGGGTGGGTGGGGGGGCGTGGGAGTGGGGGGGTGGCGGGTGCTAATGTGCTAATTCTTCGGGGCTGCAGGCGGTTTAGTTGGGCGGCTCAGGAACGACCCTGTCCATCCCGATCGCAGTGCAGCATCTGATATATGACAACCAGGCGCTGGCGATGCTTGTAAGGGTGGAGGCTAACCTTTCGAGCGGCCAAAACCCTAAAACCCTAGACCCGCTAGAACCCTCAAAAGCCCAAAACCCTAACAGCCTAAAACCCTAACGCCCTAAAACCCTCAAAGCCCCAAACCTAAAACCCTCAAAGCCCCAAGCCCTAAAATCTAGACCCTAAAGCCCTAATGCCCTAAACCGTAAACCCCAAACTCCAAAAACCCTAAACCCTAAACCCCAAACCCTAAACTTTTCCTGAAAGCCCTTGAAGGGATCCGGGAAGGGGCCGAATTTTTTTCCTTTTGTCAGACCTACGAACCACTACTCCAGTATTGACCTCCTAGACCTTAAGCCCCAGACCCAAACCCCAAGCCCCAAGTCGTAAACCCCAAGCAAGCCCTAAACCCCGAGCCCTAAACCCGAAACCCCAAACCAGAAACCCTAAACCCGAAACCCTAAACCCGAAACCCCAAGCCCGAAACCCTAAACCCTAAACCTTAAACCCCCAATCCCTAAACCGCTTCTAGTTCTTGGGACCCTGAACCCTAAATCCTAAACCCTAAACCCTAAACCCCAAACCCGAAACCCGAAGCCCTAAACCCAAAACCCCAAACCCCGCCCAAACCCTAAGAAGCTGCTACTTGTTGAGAGGTTCTCAAGGAGCCAGCAGAGCGGCCCGGGAGCCCAAAGGGGGCCCGTCCAAGATGAAGCAAACCTACTAGGGTTCAGGGTTTATGGTTTAGGGTTTCGGGTTTAGGGTTTCGGGTTTAGGGTTTAGGGTTTCGGGTTTAGGGTAAGTAAGAACTGGGGTTCTCAGAGCTATCCTAGGGGTTCTGACTGAGGGGAAAAAACCGCGTGTTCTTCAGTGCGCCCTAAACCCTTAACCAAACCCCAAACTTCCTAAATTACCCTTTAGCTCCCTAGCCCTAAACTCCTAAACCCAAAGCCCCTGACCTGAACCAAGCTACTCAACTCCATCAGGGCTTTACCCCTCAGCATAGTGCTTCCGGGATACACCCTAAACCCTATAATCCCTAAACCAAACCCATTGCCTTAAACCTTAAGCCCTAATCTCGAAACCCTACGAATACTCTAAAGCCCTACAAAATCTTGAACTCCGGGTCCGAGCCCTAAACCCTATCTATCCTCCCCACACCGTGCAAAATCCCAAAACCCTCAGCCCAAAATCCTGTAAAATCCTAAGCCCCAAGCCCCAAATCCCATAAATTCCCAAGCCCAAACCAGGCTGTCGAACATCTTCCCGGGCTGCAAGGCAGATATTGCAGCTCCCAGGCTACGCAAGAGGAGAGGTAGGGGTTGACGTCGGACGCGCCCTGGGAGGTTTAGGGTTTCGGGTTTAGGGTTTAGGGTTTAGGGTAACATGTAGGGTTTGGGGTTTAGGGTTTAGGGTTAGGGGTTTAGGGTTAGGGTGTTTAGGGTTTAGGGTTAAGGTTCAAGTTTGAGGTGAGGGTATAAAGCTTCGGGTTCAGGTTGCGAGTTGCAGCCCTCATCTAGCGGCACCTTGCAAGGGACCATAAGTCAGAGTTCTGGTCATATGCCAGTATCTGCAGCTATTGACGTACACCCAAACCCTAAACCTAAACCCTAACCCCTAAACCCTAAACCCTCAACCCTAAACCAAAAACCATAAACCATAAACCCTAACCCTAAACCCTAAACCCTAAACCCGAAACCCTAAACCCTAAACCCTGAACCCTAAACCCTAAACCCTAAACCCTAAAGGCATGAAATGCACGATGACGCAGCATCGCCATCTTCCGAACCAGCACTGCAGAGTAGCCGCAGATGTAGCCTTTCTCCTCCTCCCCCCCTAAACCCTAAACCCTAAACCCTAAACCCTAAACCCTAAACCCTAAACCCTAAACCCTAAACCCTAAACCCTAAACCCTAAACCCTAAACCCTAAACCCTAAACCCTAAACCCTAAACCCTAAACCCTAAGACCTAAACCCTAAACCCTAAACCCTAAACCCTAAACCCTAAACCCTAAACCCTAAACCCTAAACCCTAAACCCTAAACCCTAAACCCTAAACCCTAAACCCTAAACCCTAAACCCTAAACCCTAAACCCAGACCCTACACCCGATACCCTAAACCCTAAACCCTATCCCGAACCGTAAACCCTAAAACCCGGACACCTGAACCTAAGACTTCAATCCCAAACATGAAGCCCGAAGTCCTGAACCTAAACGCCCTAAACCCTGCACCCGAAGCCCGAAGTCCTGGACCCTCCCCAAAAACCCTAAGCCCTAAGCCCTAACCCCTAAACCCTAAACCCTAAACCCTAAGCCCCACACCCCAAACCCCAAACCCCAAGCCCTATGGCTGACGTCAAACCACTACTCTGGTCTCCTGGTCCCCTTAGAGTCTCCGCAGCTCCCAAACAGGGTTCAGGGTTTAGGGTTTAGGGTTTAGGGTTTAGGGTTTAGGGTTTAGGGTTTAGGGTTTAGGGTCCCGAGAACGTTGAGGTTATCAGACGCCCATACACCGCGCAAGAGCGAGGCGAGCTGTTTCAGAGGCGCAGAGGGGCTGCTGGGAAGGTATTGTGGCCTCTAAGCCCTAAACCGTAAATTTTCACTTAAGTCACACTGTGGTTCAGAGCACGAGCA